ACAAACACATGCAGTCACACAAAGACCCCATACATGACCCATAAAACAAACACACACACACAGAACATACATGTACACAAAACACAGGCACTAGCACATGTACACAAACATATGCAGTCAAACACCCACATCTCCATACATGATCCATAAAACAAACACACACACACACACACACACACACAGGACACACATGTACACAGAACACAGGCAATAGCACAATACCAATATAGACAGTAAAATACACACACCCCCACACGTCCATAAAAACACACACAGACACGCACACACTTAGACATACACACAAACACAGATATGCAGACACAAGTTCCAGATCTCAGACTAATCTGTTATCGTTGCCCTATGATGTTTAGCCGAGGGCTATGGTCTGAGCATGTCCCTAGCCCCGAGCTAACAGAACTCATAGCCTCTGGCTATGACTTAACTGGGACTGAACTAAGACTGCGGCAAACTTCGATAAAGACAGCCATTTCACACTCAACTCAACGCCCTGCTATGACCTCAACCCAAGTCTAGCTTCTGGGATATTTCACACCTGGGCCCCGTTTCTTAAAGCAGGATTACAGAGTCAGCTGGATAACCAAACCAGGCCAATAAAACTCTCCTGTGATCTGGAAAAACCTAGTATGTGTGTCACTTTTGGTAGAATAAACCAAATGAGTTTAACTTTCATTTGCAGGAATTAAGAGTGGTGAAAATCTTAAAATACTAGCTATTAGTGTCATTTGAATGTCCAAAATCAAGTTTCTATCATATTTTTTACTGTTAGGAAAAGTCCAGAACCTAAAATTTTTGTTCAGTTGCGAGATCTTTGCCACTGATAAACTTACTAGGTTTTTCCAGATCACAGGACAATTCACAACCCTCCAAAATCTGGAGTATGGACTGAGGTAAAACACGACATTCTGGGTTTTTACTTAGTGCAGTTATCCAGGCAACTCCATCATCCTCCTCTGAGAAATTAGCCCAGCTCTACTTTTTACGCATTAGGGCTAATGTGGGTACTCTGTATACTCAGAACCCATTAGAGGAGTCACCAAACATTCAGTCAGTGCATTTACATGACGTTAGAGAAAATCAAATTATTGTGTTAGTCCGACTAATAACCGGACTGTTAAAATGCATGTAAACTTGTTAGTCCGACTGGAATCGCGCTAAATCGAATTTCTCATAGTCCAACTAACACACCCAGATAATGCGGTTAATAGACGCATTATGCCTGCATGCATACGCTTGAATCGAACCAAACTGGACTATTTGCCCAGTGCATGCTCCACATTCTTCGTACAGGGCTTTGACCTGGAAGTCTTGCGGACATGTAAACAACAAACTGTTTAGCGACAACTCTGAGCTCTGACTAGCTAGCAAGTTTGTACTGAACAGTAACAATCTTCGTCTGCAAGGGTACTGGTGCTTGAACAGTAACGCCTTGGGGTCTCTTAACTTATACCATTGATCTGCATGTTTTATCGAATGACTTGCGCGTCTTCCGAAAATTTTCCTTCCACTCGCCATCGGAAAAATGACACTCTCCCACCGGTCATTATTCCTGACCCTCATCCAACATGCATGGGAAGCCCGGGAGCGCGTTTCCTGAAAGCACAGATGCTAATGAACATAGCTGGAACCACAGACTGTCAATGGACGAACTATGTTTGTTGCTTGCAACATTGCTTCTGGACCGATTAATACTCAGACCGATGTCTGGCGGAGGGTCATTCTCATTTTGTTGAGCGGGGGAGGTGGGGTGGAGTAATTCCACATCTTCCAGTACCGCTCCTATTTTTCTGTTTTTTTTTTTTTTCTTTTTTTTTTTTTTTTTCCCCAGACTTGCACATGTATCAACAACTCACAGCAATTGCGCATATTGAGACTATGCCGGGGGTTAATTAGACTATGGCGGGCCGCCATAATCTCGTCAATGCATGGGAAACACTGAAAATGTTTGGTCTGTGACGTAATGGGTCAATCTGAAAAAGATGCGACACGAACAAGCTTAAAGGCATGATGTCGCCAACAACTGTAGTGGAGGCGGGCATGCTTCAGTCAATAAATCGAATTTCGTCCCGCGCGTGTGCACTGGGACAAGGACAGTAGTCCGATTGCATGGCCTAAATGAGCTATTATCGTAGCTTGACTTAACTGTGCATGTAAACGTACTGAGCGATAACATCACCCAGCAGTATTGTGATTAAGCACCAACTATCTGTACCCCTCCCCCGCTCAGAGGAGGTAGGGGTACGAGATACTGGTTACTTTATCATTTTTTGTGAGTATTCTCAAAACAGAAATGAACAAACTCAAATATGCAGCTCAGCTTCCAGTAAGCTGGCATTAAATATATAGGATCTTTGCTCAGCTACAGTTTGGCCCAAGTCTTAAGGACAGCCCAGGGCCCAATAAAGTGGCATGATAAATCCCTAATTATAGTGCAAACATAATTATAATTGTAATGGGTCCCTAGCTAGATAGCCCTTCAAGGATCACAAGAATGAACATAGTTCAGCAAATTCAGACTGCTCCATAGAAATTAAAGTTAAATTGTGCATTTCAAGAGCATTTCAGTTTAGGCAAGCATATGTACACAATCATCACCCCATTTCTGCATAAGCAAGTCTTTTTTGACATTAACCTTCCATTAACTTAAGTGCACTTTCTTGAATTTTATATTAGGCTGAAGCATTAACCTTGAACCAGTCTTGTTCAGGCTGGATACTGTAACCGGGAAACCGTCTTTTCAATCAGCAGCCCTGGGGTGTGTCTCCCGAATTCACAGACGCTAACTTACATAGTTGGACCCATTGACTGCGAATGGACGAACTATGCAAGTAGCGAATTTAGTTAGCAACTAGGCTTTTTGAAAACGCACCCCAGAGCAATACTCACCCCAGTGGCAGAAATCTGACGAGATGACGAAGAGGTTGGACGGATCGGCCAGGTATTTACTGAGCAGCCTTCCATACTCCTGCTCTTTAGCTTCACTCAAAGCGCCGACCAGCACGGGCACGATGGCAAAATCGTCTTTATGGCTGCAAAGGACGTGCAGGACTTTTTTTAAAGGCGTAGAGTATAATGTGTGATCTTTACACTTTAAAAAAAAAAGTAGAGGCACTCCAAAGTGCAAACCTCCATCAAGGCAGCACAGTCAAAATCTCGCTGAGTGAACATAGCTCATAAGAAATTCAAGGTATCTGCAACATAGGATTTCAAGATGGCTACCGTGGCGGCCATATTCTTTGACTGATCGCAGTCAAAATCAATAGGGTCCATCCCTGATGTAATAGCAACCCACCCACAAAATTTCAGAGATATCTATTCATTACTTCTTGAGTTATCTTGTACACAAAGAGACGGACAGATAAACCAATGCCGGCAAAAACATAACCTCCTTTGCGGAGGTAATAAAAAGTTGACTTGACTTAAAAAAGTAAGGCAGCCAGTTACAAAGCATTTTTGAGTCTGCTTAACTTCAAGTCCTATTCGTTACACAAACTCATTTTTGAAAGCACTTGGAACCAGAAGATGAGCCATCTCAAAAATTGCATTGCAGCTGGTTGCCTTACTTTTTCCAAGTCGAGCCGACTTTTTATTTCCAACATTGCAGGAGCCTCAGCAATCGCACTCCAAAATGTGCTCCAAGATTGTCATTTTTGAGAATACCAATGTTGAAAAACCTGTACTAAGCTACTCCATACCAGGCTTACAGGTTTCAAACTGTCAAACCAACAAATCACGAATGAGTGAGACATGCACTGCAGTCCAAAAAAATTTAGACTGTTGCAGATTTTCCTTTTTGTTTCGGCTATACCTTGGAGAAAATTGAGGGGAAATTACAAATGCAAACAGTCCACTTAATTTTAGGGTATTTACATCAATATCACGATCGTCTTAGGCAATACAGCCGCTAAGACTCACAGCCACTGTCTCGACACTTACCCATACTGTACATGAACTACACCGCCTTTTCAGAAGTCTGTCTACATGGTCAGCGTCGCACGAGCAAGTGACATGCATCACGTAAATCCACAGACCCCTGAACTGCTGATTGGAGGAGGGAAGGTTTGGCCCCGCCCCCCCGCCTCACCTCTCCATGGCTTTGGCTGTGTAGGGCAGGTGCATCTCGATGCTGTGCTCGTCTTCGTCCATTTGTAGGCTCATCCGCTCGAACATCCCAGTTTTCCAGAGGTCAGCGTAAACTGCCGCAGGGCGGGGGCAGGGGGGGACGGAAAAAGTATTCCCATGAGGCCCAACAGAGTTGAAATTCACATACTGCGCATTTTTTCCCCTCACGTTATTAAATAATTTCTGGGTGCAAAGTCAGCCGTAAGGCTGCTCAGAGCTTGTCAGAGATAAATCGCTACTCCTGTTTCTGAGATGAGAACTTTGCTGATCGGCAAAATTTTCCATGTTTTTGACTTAATAAAAAACACGCAGATTCATTCAGCAGGAAGCACACAGGTTCTGTAATATCTGACATTAGACACGGGACTGAGCGGATAGGAAGATGGGAGATCATTTTTCCATCAGTTCAAAAACTTAGGACATGAACTGATGTTTGCTTCACAACCTTAAAAAAGTGCCTGTAATTTTGTACAATAATTGATCAATTAAATGAATTATGACTCATTTTAACTTGAATATGAACTGAGTCACTGCTCTGAAGTAGTGTAGCGTACGATCTATCCATCCATCATCTTGTCCACTTGGTGCCCTTCAGGGTCGGGGGGGGGGGGGCGGGGGGTCTGTAGCCTCTCTCGGCACCCAATGGGAGAGAGGCAGGGACACACCCCGGACTTTTACCAACCCATCGCAGGGTAGTGTTGAATTTCTGATCAAAACTTCTCTACACACTTAAAATATCACTGGTAATTCAACTCCAGCAGAGTTTATGAGACCAACCCAGCCATCTTGGACTCAAATACACCATTGGAGTTGCATTAACACTGGGAATTTTGCTGTGCAACCTTTGGGCTAACTAGTCTGGGGCAGTATGGCTCAGGAGGTAGAGCGGGCGGGCTAGAAATCAGAAAGTTCCTGGTTCGATTCCCGGCTTCTCTAGAGAATGTGTCGAAGTGTCCTTGAGCAAGACACTGAACTCCACACTACTCCTGATGTGCAGGATGGCGCCTAGCCAGAATGTGAGGCATAAATGTAAAGCGCTTTGGGATAATGTCATGTGACTAGCAAGCGCTATATAAATGCAGTCCATTTACCATTTAGCCCTTCCCATAGACGAAATAAAAACTCTGGACCGCATTACTGTGATGTCAGCTATCAAATTTCCTCTGCCGAACGGACTAACGGAAAAGCATTTCGGCGCACAGGCGTTCAGTTTTTGGGCACTGCCATATCGTACAAATTGGAGCCAGACCCTGGGCAGTACAGCCGCCAAGTTCGAATTGTCCACCAAGCATATTAGTGCAGTGACCAAACTGCGTCTACAAAACAATTCTCTATCGTCCAAATAGCTTGCTAGCTTAACCAGTCAGCACATGGGGAGATTATCAGACAACGAAATATCAAATATTAAGTGTACATTTACTCGCGGCAGATATCGACTCTGTAATGTATTCTTACATTAAATTCACCATTGACTTGAATGGAGAACAGGTCTTTTTTTTTAACTATACCAGAGGCAGCCAGGGCAGTGCTAGAAAGCAAAATGGCTGGTTAGGTCTTACCCTTCTGGTCGATCTTCAGGTCGTAGAGGGGCGTTCTGTAGATTTCGGCCTGCGAGAGGGCACAGCGGGACAGTGGGACGTGATGGGACGGGCCTAGAATGAAGACCCTTCTACTGCAGAGGGAGAGATAAGGGGGACCCGATTATACTCTCACTCTCCAGGCCTCTTGGAGCAATAGTTTTGGCACAGACCCCTTACGACATCACAGTGAATCAGAAAAAACTAAGCAAATAAATCATAAAAGTAAACTGTACTCACGTGACCGTGGGGTCCACTTGCTTGTAGGCAAACGCTGCACAAGATCCGCAGTATGTGTAGCCAGCATGCCTGTGAAGACAGCACATATCTCTGAGCACTCCAATGCAGAACATGAGCCAAAATGGCTCCACAGTAAACCTCCCACATAGTGAGCAAGCCAAACAATGTGCAATAGCATGAACCATAATGGCAACAGGCACAAGAAGTGATGGCTGAGCTGCTGTAATTGCCAGTGGGGATTCTGAATTACAAATCAAACTTGTTCATATTTTGGGGATGCGCACTGACTTAATGTTACCTTCATATCTGGAAAAGAGTATAATTCTGATAAATTGTAAAATATCACACAGGCGAGCACTCCCCTCCTGCCACAGGAAATCTGTGACCTCAGTTTGCAACTCCAAACGAGTAGCTTATTTAAGTGCTTATAAACCACTGCATCCCACCCCCCCACCCCCCAAAACAAAAAAAAAAACCTGTCATTGTGCAGCTGAATAAGTAAATCAGAGACGCGACGAAACCCCCCCCCCCCAAAGCCTCAGACAAGATGATGGCGGTGCCTTACGGTGCGATTATCGCTCGGGCAGGTTTTATCGTAGATGGCACTTGAGAGAGCCAGCCTTCTAATTGTGCATTCAGCTGCGGTCCTGCATAAAGGAAAGATGGGGGAAAACCATTAAAAACAGAGAGCACATGAATTCTAAAATACATCAGGGGGCAAAGGCCGACTTCATCACCATTTTCTATAATCCTGCTCTTATATTCGGGCGGGGTAGGTGAGAGAGTACAGATAAAATGCAGATTAAAAATAGCCTTAAGTGTGCTTTCCACCCTCAAAGCCACATTGTTGTATCCTTAGGTCAGCGATACCTGAGAGTATCACGTGATATCCTTCAGCAGGCACCTGGTCTGGTATATACAGGAGAGGATATTAATCCTTCAACCATTTTCTGCAGATTTTACATGCATTTGAAGCAATAGCTGTTTCTACTTTTGACACAAATAATTAAATGTATACAGGGAAACAGTGAAAGAAATTGGCATACTAGCATATTCCAAAAGGGAAAAAAACCCAAACTAAGACCTGCAAAAGGATATATGTTCACAGAATATCTCCATGTGAAAAAGTGCACTTAGTAAACTACTCAGAGAGAGAGAGAGCAGAGATGTTTCAGTCTTACAGCATTACCTCTTCTGGTTAAAACTTAAAATCTGGGCAGTAGGCTCGTTAAATTTTCTCTTGTATTGCCCAAGTTCTCAGTAACTATAAATGAAGTCAGCTCTTAAATCCAGGGACTTTTAGCGTGCTGAAAAGCCAAGCAATGGGCCGCTTGCTCAGGGCGGCTGGAGCGCTGACGCACGTTCACCCGTGGAGGAGCTTCCGCCAACTGCGCCAGCCGCGAATGAAACGGCGGGCTCTCAATCCGCCACGGCGGGAGAAAATCTCCCGGTGGCCGCGCGCCAGTCTGGCAGGGGAAGTCCGTTAACCCAGACGCAGCTTCTATTTTCCGCATCACATTAGTGCAAAAGAAAGGGGGGGAAAAAACCCTTGTTCTCATTGCCAGACGCAAGCCACAGTCTGCTCCCCAGCAATATGCTGAGATGGGGGGGCGTGTTTCTGGAAGACTGCAGATTAAGCGCTCAGATAGCGATGATGCCATAATCCACATTGTAGGCATATCTGACCGTTAGTGATATTTTCCCATTGATGCCACGTAGAAGCATACCACTTCAAAGCACCCAAATAGATCACTTGAGGAGTATATATCACACTGGTGTCAAAAGAGAAAATTCTCATTCATTTCAGCCAAGCCATTTTTAAAACCAAGCTTTTAACACACTTCCTTTTTTTTTTTTTTAAGGCTCCATCAATTTTGTAAATATTCCCAGGTAGCAGTATATGTGGTTTTCTTAGACAATTAGTGACTATAATTTACATTCTGGTAATTCTTTTCTAATATTCTGACACCTTAGTCTAAAAAAAAACTACACATCCCAAATTCCACTTCACCCCCAAGCTCCTGCTGAGGACAAAAGCATCTTTAGCTAGGCACTAGCTAGTAAGCCAAGAAAGTAATTTTGTGGTTAGCCACCACAGCATCCCATTACAATATTGTTCGCTAACATAAAGAGGTGAAAAGTTTTAACAGAGGCTAGAACCTATCGGGTCTGGGTAAATGTAAAAGCCAAGCAGGTCACCAGTTACCACATCAATCTAGACCTGTAGCCAAACTCGCTTTCACATTTTTAGCCCAATATTAAAACTAGTATTTAGCTAGCACTTAGCAAAATGCCATTATCTTGCTAACTGGGTTGAATAAATCTGTTAGTAATGTTTGGGTACAGCTCTAATTATTCAGAACATGCTAGCCATCGCTCTCTTACAGTCAGGAAACTCAGAAAACTGTATAACCTACAGTTTTTAAAGGCATAATAGTTGCAGTCAAGAACAAACTACTCGATCATCGTCTTCTTTGGAAAAATTGCAACCTGGATTGAAGTAAAATCGTAAAAGGATGACTTAAAGCTGGCAACAAAGAACCTAAAATACTCTGGCTGAAACTAAGGTATCTGATTGGTCAGGAACAACTTATGCTATTCACACATCGGTGTAGTGGACATCCAGTTTGCAAAAATTGATAACAATCAAGTGCAAGAACCCATGTATTATATCCACCTGCATCCATACATCCAATAGGTTAATCTTGGTGCATTCAAACTCATAAAATTATTTCCAATTCAAATAATGATGGCAAGTGTGCAAAACCCATCATAATTTTTCCAAAGGATTTCACTTGCAAAACCAGCGGGGAACTAGGCGCAAGGTAGAGGTCTATGCCAAGCATTGATTACTATGCCTCCACCTTCCAGTTTCATAGACCTTAAAAGTTCATCTTTAGTTACTGCATACACCTGACCTTGTGATTTTGACCTTTGACCTGATGACCTCCAAAACTTAATCAGTACAGCTACCCTTCACAGGGAATTTACCTTGTGTGATTTGGTCAAAGTCCTCCCACTTCTACAGTAGATATCACACACAAAAGATGTGTGACGGACGGACGGACGGACAGACAGACACAGACAGACGACTACAAAACAGTACGTCTCCCGCCCACTGTGTGGGGTGGAGGCATAATTTAGTTATGGCTCTTCAAGCTGACTATGGAGGACAAAGCCATCAGTCTAAACAGCTCCAATCTGCAAATGAATGAGTGAAGTCTCAGACTTTACAGGGCAGCACTGACCTTTGTGCATCCCATGTTACTCCATCAAACCTCATCACACACAGACATAATTAAAAAAAAAAAAAAAAAAAAAATCAATGAATGAGAAAACTCACACCCATTAGATCATTTTAAAAATGATCAAAAAGTTAAAATAGCACAGTTTCTATGCAAGTGTTACCAATAAAATGTTGATTTTGAATACCTAGTTTGATTTTGACATAAGCATAGAACGTTCAGTGGAGAACATTATAATCACATATTTGTACTTTCTCACTATAAGGGGTTAATTAAAGGACCTAGTTTTTTCTGGCCTGAGTTAGACAGATCAGACAGTTGAGGACTTGGAAGGCAAAGGTCAGATATCTATTTGCAGACGAGTCAGTGGGTTACTCTCCCAGGAGGAAAAACAGCCATGCAAACAGCAAGACTGAGCTGCACAATGACATCAGCTGAAATGATGGCTAAGCCCTTCCGATTGGTCCCAGCAAGTGAGAAATCGCGTGGCCTCACCCCATAACAAGACTCATGAACTAAACTCACAAACAACAACACTGGAAGGTTTAAACCACGATATGATATCACTACATTTCCTCCATAGTTTATCAGCCTGTGTATATGGCACAAAGATTCTGCTCATCCTGATCTCCTTCAAGTTTACTTTGGAAATGCACCCAGCTGTGCTCATGTATAATCATAAACACACAGTCTTAAATTCAGGCAGTAAGGATTCCACGTCCAACTGGAATCTCCATGCAGAAACACTTTTTTTTAAACACAGTGTCTAGAGATACGGCAGTTTTATGGGTACAGCAGTCGATTTGAAATGAGTAGGATAAGGATTAGGGATTATGGTTAGGGTTGGGGTTAGAATTAGGCGTCAGGGTTAGGT